ATACATCATCTGCTGTCATATCCGTTAGCAGATGTAATTGACTGAAATATTATCTTTATTTGGACATTATTAATTAGTTAAATTCCTTTTCATTATTTAAATCGTTAATTTATGTAATTAAATGAGCTATAAATATGTGCGCCTTGTCAGCAAGTACCACCGTACACGTGAGGTGTTTATCACTTGCTATATCAAGTGTGTAATTCAACCGAGATTTTCTGCATCGAACCAGATCACAACTCACAAAGGACTATAATAGTGTAGTTTAGTTCTACTGCACTTCAACTGGAAGCCGCGCGGAGGGGACCCTTTCGCACCTCGTCCGTCCCCCGCGCGCATCACTCCCCGCTGGAATTAGTCGCACTCCGAGCCGCCACAGCAACTTTTTTAATTACCCTATTTAACGTTGTATCTATTTGCATATTTTCATACATCAAACCATAAGGCCTGCTATTCATTTATTACCCGATCCAATCAGAAATACAGTTCTCTATTAAACATTACCATAAACTTTGCATTGGAGTAAACATAATGTTCGTAAGATACGGGTTCCTTACCACGATTTTTCTTCACAATACCGCATCACTTGAGTCAGCCCGTGAACATGGCGCATGCAACTGTGCCGAAATATCGGTAGCAAAAACAATTCAATCGTGGTAAAAATCCGTATCTTACGAACATTATATTTGTGAAAACCACGACAGTTTAAAGTTATATATTGGAGTGAACAATCTTTTATTTTTATGTTCGTTCTGGTTTATACCGGTGATGGAAGTCATTTTACTGACGTCTTCATCTATTAGTATGATAGATAAATAAACCAACGCCTTCTTTTACACTAAAAATGTTTTAATAAAATATTAGCAGCTCTGTTAAAAGCTTGTCATCAATAAATTGCTTCCCGTTGCAGCGATGTTATCGTTTAGTCATAGTGATTCCGGCGGGTGCAGCACGTGTGCGGTGCGGCGTGTGGTGCGCTAGGGCCCGCGCGCGGCATCGCCTGCGTCCGCTGAGTCTATTCCCGGTAAATAGGTCAAGCCGCTCCCAACTTAGCTGCAAGAACGAATACAAAAAGAGTAAAACGCGCGCCGCTCGGTTCAACAACGCGCTAACCAGAGTTTAATCTTAGATTACTCGTAGATGACGTTATACAGGATGTTCTGTGATCACAATCATGAAAGTTAGTTTTGTTGTAATTCTAACAATAGATATCACTGGGCAGAATTTGAAAAGAAAGAACTAATTACCTTAACATTATAATAGAGTGAAATAAAAGGTGACATTATCTTGGCATTTTTAATATAGACCATACAGTGTCTCTGAAAATAATATCGACGATTCTTTATCTAGATTTTTCTTTTGGAGAGCTACAGGATGAATAAATTTTCTATTCCTATTTTAATATGTAAGATTTTTTTTTTATAACATAAGGTGGCAAACGAGCAAGCGGCCACTTGAATCCGCCAAAATGGCGAGGCGACCGCTGCCCATAGACATCCGCAATTGCAGATGCGTTGACTACCCTTATACGACGGAGGAGGAGACGCACATAAAGAGGATATTTCCCCTTCCTATGCATCTCCTCCACCGTCAAATCCACTTCCCCTTCCCATCCTCTCCTTATAAGAAAATGGTGATAAAGAGAAAGGGACTTAAATTAGGCCCCCGGCACCACACTCATCAGACGAAACACGGAATTGCTTCCATTTCACGCCTGTCTTCTGTGTGGTCGTGGTATTACACCGGGCGTGCTGGCCCATTTGTGCTAAGATGTTAAAGCGGGCACTACCACTGCTAAAAGAAGAATGCCGAATACTCTTGTTTTTAATATCATACTGTGTGATATAATCTTATTGTATGACTTCTGATAACAAAACACAACCCTACGTCAGAGTTCACACGATCAAGGTTCTGCGTAAAAGAACAGTTGTCGGCATTGGGCTGTGCACATAATTTAAACAACATTGTGCATTTATTATCCGCGGACATTACGGAAGTGTCTCCATGTCGACTCGTTAGCCTTACGTGGCGCCTTAATGCTTCATGTTTCATATCTGACGTGTTTGTTACTGAAGTGGAAAGGATTAAGCGAATGATCGGCTCATGAATATTTATTACTTTGGTTATTCCTGAAAAAGTGAAGTAGTTCAGAATTGTAGCGTCAGCCGATAATCTAGGTAGGTCTATGGGGGCATCTACCATGAAAGTTGTTTTATGTCCTGCTAGCCTGCTCGCCATCTGGCGACCATGTATAAAATTGAATTTGTTAGTTCACTTTTAAGTTTGAAAGGAAATTGAAAATGTCGTAATAAATAATTTACTTATCAAATTGTAGAACAAAGTTTAATCTTTATTTTTGTGTTAGTAATCTAAATATAATTTGAACTGTAAGCATTAAATGAATAAGTGTGGAAAATTTTTGAAGGTAATTTACGTTTCAGCGAAGTATTGTAGTATAGCGCTGTTCCACATACGATCGCAGAGTTTGCGAAAATTATTCGTGTCAGAAAATAAGAAAGTAATATCTGACGAATTGTTTATATTTAATTTGTAATTACGATAAATTTTAGTGGGTTAAAGTGATGTCCGTAAATTATAAACAATTATATGCGTGTGTTGTGCGTATCGAGGTCGTTTTAAATGAAATTTCGAAATCTTTGCTCGAAAACAAAGAAATTTGCGAATTTTTTTCTTACAGAATATTGATATATTATTATTATTATTATTATTATATAGACTCATATGTTTTTAGCACTTAATTCTCTTGTTAAAAAGTATACATAAATAAAATTACTTATTAGTTTATTATTAAGAGAAACTACAGAAAAATTACGTAGTAGTCATTCGGAATTTCACAGTAACATTTCTTCTAAAACAGTTATCTTCACTTCCTTCAACGTCAATATTTTTAAAATAAATGAATACATCAATATATTGTTTTAATTACATTAAACACAATTAGTTAATCAGTCTTATTCACTGTCTTGTCTTCTTCATACATATCAAATGGAGTTAAGATTTTATTCACATTAATTTACCTTGATGTATTATTTAATAGTGTGGTTACCACTTTACTATTGTCGATATATGACACTAAATAGTTCGCAAGATTCTTAAATACATTTCATACATCTTCATAGATTTCAGGATGCGTTAACCGTAGTTCAAGATTGGTGTGAGCAGGCCGCGCGGTGCATCGGCCCGCGTTGTGTAACCTGACTATTTATACACCCTCAGAGCGACGCGCTGTGTGCCCGTCTGACGGAACTTTCTCCGCCATTCCATGCACATTATTAACATAATCTGTCTCAGATTTACACATGCTAAGCTAAAATTGGGTTCAAAAAAGTTTAAACAATGGTTAAGAACGAAGCTTCAGTGCGTACATTTTCTTGGGCGGTGATAATGTTTGTTTTTCTCCTAATCCGTTAAAATGTAAAACTAAATTAATGCATTATTTGATACTGATATGAAATCATCTCTTTCTAACCTTTAATATTTTTGTATTCGTCCTTACGTTCTAATTCGTTCTACTGTTCAATAATGTAATAAACTATGAGATTAAAAATTGAAAAGTAAGTTTCGCGGATTACATTAGTATACAGCATTGAAAGAGGTCGCAGTATCCTTGTTGTTTAATGTCTGATTATGTCTCGGAGTCAGAGCAAAGTTCAAGAACAACGGAGTTATTTACATGATATATAAAAATTTTGACTTCCGCATTGACTGTAGATGGTCAAAATTAAGGTCAGAATAGAAATGAACATTACTACTTCGTTTGTAAACATCGTAGGCGATGTTTCTGACTTTTGGTAGACTGAAGGTCTCAGTTAAGGTTATGGAAAATCCTTGACTTCATGGTTAATACATTCTGCAACATTATTCAATGTCGTAATGTCAATGCTATAAACGTTTACGGACATAGAATATTTTCAAACCGAGGACAAGTGCGTGTGGTTTTGTAACGCGGGAGCACTCGATATGCTAAATGCTGTTATAAATTAACAATGTACTATTGCGATTATTCATTGACTGGAATATAATAATAGTTTGCCATGTGGACCGCTGCGACGTCAGGTTCACAGAGCCAGATATTACAAAGGGAAACGATCTCCCATAAACCCCGGCCCGCGCCCCGACACGGAAACGTCCCGAGCCTACGCATTGTTCCTAACGATTGTTTTTCCATTTTCCCCCGGCGTCGTTCCCGGCCGCGGGCGTCGCTCCTGCGGTTGACCGCCGGCGACCGTGCGTCGACCTCGCGCTTCGCCGCCCGACTGCCGTGCCCTCTTATCGTGCGCTTTCGCGCCATCTCGATTCGAAATTCGAATTGTCATTTTGAAGAAACAAAAAATTAAGACATGGCCGAGTGGCCAGTGACAACTGTCAATTACAAAATCATAAACGAACCATATTTGGCGATATATTTTGAACCTGTCCCACTGGAATCACGCGAGGCGTCGTGTAATGACCGCTTTGTCACTTCATCATAATTTTAAAGTGGTGCAAGTACGGCGAAATGTGATTTCCGGGCGCCGCAATCACAAGGAGAAAGAATTTTTTTCTCAAGCAAAATTTCATTTAAAAATGTTATTTGATATGTATGTGCTACGATAATGTTTCAGAGATGAATATCAGTTGTCTATTTTTATTAGTGGGTTCGATTAGAGGCGACAACGGCCGACTCTCCGGGTGCGACGCACCCTGGCGGGCATCCAATCACGCCCACGTTTCTGGGGGTTGCTCACAAAGTTTTTCCTCTACAACACGTATCTTCGTCACATGTCATTTGGCTAGAAACTTCTTTGAAAAAATGCTCGTGAAACAATTTTAAATCTGTCAGCACTAAATTAATCCTCAGACATTCGTATGAGACTGTTACGATAGACTGTTTAGACAAGAAGTGTTCTAAAAGTTAAGAAAACATACATTAAATTAAGGAACAATAAAACAACGAATTTGTAAAAACTATTTTATTAAAAAAATATGCATATTGCACAATATAATGATAATCTTATTTCTATTATATCTTCGCAAGTGCATTAACTTTTCAAGTAATTATGATTCTAATTTGTTCAGTACTATAACAATAACAAGTAAGACGTAATAAGTGCTTCGAAGTAGTCAAATTGAAAACAGCACTTGTCAACGAGCTATTCAAAACGAGGCAATCAGATCTTACATCTCTATCTAACTTATGCAAAACAATTATATCTATCCCTTCATCGTTGAACCAAGTTGATCAGTACGATATGTTCGCCGCGCACCAGCAGCTGCGGGACATGCCGCCTGCACGCCCACACACCCTTACCTAGAGGTTTCTCCGTCACCTGGGGCACGGGGTACATCGCCGCCGCTGTCCCTTTAGCCACTGACGCAACTGAAAATTCATTAATTATTGTGAACCGTAACTATTACAAAGAATATATGAAACAGGAAAGCCTTACTTAGTTGTTAATTTACTTAATCAAAATCAAGTAAAACATTATAGTCATCTTGTAAACTAAGGTCTGCACAGATCTTACAATCCACTGTCTACCCCTTGCTGTTAATTAGAATAGTATACCCATAGCTGGTGGTATTTTCCTCTTCTTCACTGCCTTCTTATTCCAAATTTCCAGCACGTCTGTAAGGGCCAGGTTCCACTGCTTGTCGAAAGCGATCAGGTTGGCATGCAGCTCGCCCCTGATGCCCGTCGCGCCCCGCGTTATCACCTGTGGGTAGACGAGTCAGATAGCATTTGATAAGTATCACGTGTAATTGTTGAAATTATCTAATCTAGTTCTATTATAATAGGTATTTAATTATTGACAAGTCATAAGTCTGGAGGGATACATTGGTAGAGGTAGGACTAGTATATTAATAGTTTGCAAAGATCAGAAACAAATGAGGGAAGATAGTTCGATGTAAAAGAAAAAATTGTACATCAGCATAACATAGAATGGAATAAAGATAGGGTGAAGATCATTGTGAATTCCTGCTTCTCCTCTTAAAGAAAAGGAAACCCGGGAATGGCCAAAACCTGGACGTTAGAGAGAGAGTATTTGTTGTGTTTTGTATTGAGTTCATGTTACGGTCTAAGTCCGACTAAACATCTTTAGTCTATTCCTTTACCTTTACCGTTACATCATTAGAATCGCAAATCAAAATAACTTTGACGTAGCTAACGGCCTGTGAAAATAACAAAAAACGAGTCCCGTAAAAGGCGCTTGCATAAATTGCCTTCATTCAGAATACGTGCAAACTAACATAGCTTTTACAGAACAGGTCATTAGATCGGATATCGTATGCGGTACGATTTTATCAATTCAAACGGGAATCGAATACGTCACGAGACGGGAGCGTAGGAAAATTACTGTATGCAAAAATTATAGGATACATTAAATCCACGAATTTTAAAACTAGTCCAAAATAAAAGAAGTACACTATAATGTAAAAATAAAAGCAATATTCAAACCTACAAAGATACACAAATCCGGTTGTCTAAATTGTCAATGCAAAAACCATGCATTTAGTACATAACCTTATTTCTTTTTTTAGTAACTATATGATAAAATTAATACAATCATATACCGTTTACGCTATAGGGTTCGAAACCTCAGTGCGTAACAATCTCGCTAATGTTTTCCTGGTAACGCATTGGCATTGCGGTGGGTCCGCGAGGTCCGGCCCCTTTCCTGTCCGCACATTACAAACACATACATAACAGCTATACTTATGGAACATCTGTGACCTCACTTTAGATTGAAAGATAATTATAGGGCTAAGAGAAACTTGATATGGATTAACTCTATACTGATATCACGTTTTTCATTAGACAAACAAAATGATTACATACTCGTTGTTGCTCGCGATTTCGTCCACGTGAAATTTAAAAATATAGCCTATGTTACTCACTGGTAACGTAGCTTTCTAATCAAAACTACAAAGTCGTGGTGCTATTAAAATACAAGCAATACAGCCTTTTACTTATTTTTTTTACGTTATTAGAAAATTAAGCAAATATGATAATATCAATAAAGTATTCCTATTTCATGATAACAAATCTAACTTTAAAGCAACTTAACTAACATAGATATTTGTTACAGGTTAGTGCTGTGAGTCCTCCAGTGCCACCTACTGTGTTCAGATGTAAACAGTACTTCCATTGTTAGAAAATGCCAAAGAATCTGGTAAGTTCGCGTGTATTTCATTACTTATAATATTAAAAAGCTTTGGCCTGCGACTCCGTCCGCGTGGTATTAAAAAAAACAAGTAGCCTATGTGTTCTTTTAGACTATCATCTACATCAATGCTAAATTTCATTGAGATCCGTTTCGCAGTTTAGGCTACAAACTCTAACAAACATCCATCCATCTAAACTTTCGCATTTATAATATGAGTAAGTATGAATTATGACTAGTAGATTAGATACTCGTGTACACATTTTGGAAATAAGGATTTAAATGCAATTTAATTAATATAAACCAAAAATTTATTTCTTCATATAATACTGATCCCGCATTCATATCACTCTCCAGATGATAGCCGACAAGACTGCTGATATCTTAATAACTGTCTAAAGTTACACTCTGTACACTGAATTTTGTAACTGTACAATATTAATTATATTCTGTTCTGTTACTAACAATATAAAAGACCTGCAATTTTATAAACTGTTTTTTTAGGCTTGAAATAAAAAAAATATTATTATATTACACAGATAAACTATTGTCTAATATCGTGTAATTTATTCATTAAAAAGCCTGAACATATTCGACTGGTAACATTTCTAATTATTTTCCTGGTAAATACCAGCATGTCCTTAATTTGAATGGAAAATATCGAAACGCGTGAGGTGGAAAAACACCGCTTTAGTAAGCAAGGTCCTATGATAAATAAGTATTCCGAATATCACGAAAAGTGACAAATTTATCCTTATTTACCTTCGTTTTCCAAACCTCACATCGGTTTGTTTACTTCACCTTGAAAAGGAAATCGAGAAAAGCGTATCACTGAACAGCTTGTACATGAGTTTCATTCATACTAAGTTACTTAGTCTAGTTTTCTGATTTAAACACTCCAGAGTGTGCCAGATAAACTTCGACCTTGCGTATTCACAAAATTGGTAATAACTAGTTACAAGTGTCTTACAGCCTAAAAACCAGTAAATTATCGTAAAAACTTATTCTGGGAAATACAGTGTTCTATCTAGTAGAACATTTTTCATAAAAAATACATTGTTCGAGTTTGATTAAAATACTTTTTAGATTAGTAATATAAAAGCGAATCACTGCTGCGTATCATTTGGATAAAACGGGCCAGAAAACTAGATTTTTTAGTGTTTTCTTACTGCACATTTAATAGGCACAATGTTAGATATAATGGCAGCAGTTCTTTTAACGAATAAATGGTATATTTACTTATGTTACATAGAAAAACATCTTTGAAAATGTTAAATAAATACTGTTAAATAGTTGGTACGAACCGCGTCATGTTTACACAATGGTTCAACTAGCACTTCTCAGACTTCACCCCAATTCATCGGACGATTGTCGTATCATAAACTGGATTAATATGTCAAGGACAGATAAATTCGTTTATCCGTACTGACCTATAATTCAATCAGCCCGACGCCAAACACACGTAAGTTCACACACACAATCACGTGCATACACAAACACAGACACTCCCGCACACGACCTCGTACCGGGCCGACTCAATTTGTAAGCACCCAGCCAAGGTTCCGCGGATCTCGACATATTTATATATAGGTGTGATGTTTTTCCCCTGTCCAATGCGACAGGAATATCTCCATCTCTTACTGCTTCTACGAAAACTAAAAAAAATACTTTAATCACTGTAGACTAAGGAAAATTACGTTATAACATTAACTAAAATGTAAAGGTAATTTCAAGCGGATATTTTATTACAGTAGTAGGTAGTACCTTTATAAATAACCCATAACCAGTAACAACCTTTTTTGTAATATACAAGAAAACCTTTTGCGATTTCTAAGAATAAAAAACCGGACGTCAGTTTTATCAAAGCCGTCCAAAATATAACCAACATTTGATCTTACATTTGTATATTATCATAAACTAGTGAAATACACAATTTCCTATTGCAAATGCGTAATTGTAAAAATATAAGGAATTACACAAACATCTAACATGTTAACAACAACACATTACCGTTTTTCAATTCAAATTATATACAGCCAGACGGAGAATTACAGAAGCGACGGAGACGTTAACTTGCGAGTGTTTATTACAAAATCAAGGTCCGAATAAGGGCATAGCGTATAAAATTGAGTCTCCACTCAGTGTCAATAAAAATGGCGTCTCAGTGTTCCGGGTGGAAAGTTGTTCTCGCACAAGGTCGGAGGCGCCGCAGTCGTGAGGGCACTGCTCCAATATCTGCACTTGTCGTACCTTACACGATCTCACGACCGATAATAAACCTTGTGTACAAATACATTAGTCTTAAAGTCGACCATAAATCGCGACTGTTTGAATATTACATTAGGAATTTTGAATATAACATGTATATAAATCTATACTAAACTATTGACTAAATGAAACAAAATAGAACATAGACAAATCATAGAAGAATGCTAGATTTATTAAGCGATGACGTAGTATGTGGGAACTGCAGCATTGTAGGAAGAACATTGATGCAGGCAATTTAGCAATCACCGTCGAGACGAGCTCAATTGCATCAAGTACAATGCAGGTGTAGGCACATCTCGCCTTATAAGATTATTTCACTAGCTTATTCAACTTGAAATACAAAACGCAGGACATGGAAACAAAACACAATCAAGGCAAATAAAGCTAATGTAGAAACAAAACTCGCAGTTCACTAAGCATCCCAACATGGTATCTCACAAGCCTTATCATTTGTCACACAATACTGTCTCGACGACGCTTTAACCTGAAACTGAAAAGATAGGCATTCCATTGTGTCCATTGTTTGGGCCAGACGAGTCGCAACTGCAATCAACGAAGAAAGCGGACAATCTGTTTGTTTTACTTAAGTCAAAGTCTCGAGGTTAGCCGATGTTTACTAAAACAGTCTTTATTTTTGTTTATTCCAACGCGACCTTACCATTATAATGGAAATGATTCTGTTTACTTCGCATGAATGTTTACATTTCCTATCTCCGCGATATTTTTCTCTTTAATAATGGTTATGTTTTCTTTTAAAAACAACAGAATTCAAACTAATTAAAATACAAAAGACCTTTTCGACCTCATTACCGAAAATAAAACACAAATTCTCTGATTGAATATAATTTCACTATCGAAAAAACTATCGAAACTAAGGGAAGAATCTGCAAGTTATATGAAAACTAGATATATGAATGTTAAACTCATGTTCCTATGTATTGACTGTCAATGATTGATATTGATTGGTGTTTATGTTCGCAACTTATTGTGCCCAATGGTAGCGCATGTGCCGGGGACTCATCAAGACCCATTAGAAGCCGCACAGCGCTGCGGGAAACAAAAGCAAAAGCAAACAGACTATTCATAGATAGAAACAGGAACAATACATTTACAACGTAAATTAGATTTCAATACAATACATTTAAATTAGAAATACAATCCTTCAGACTAACACTAAAAAGAAGTTGCTGTCTAACGACCTGGGTAATAAAATAATAGTACAGTCACGTGCAAAACAACTACGAATATAATCAACAAATCTAAATGGTATGTTGACATTACGCAATAGTAAAGCGCCCAACGCCCTTCGCCTTGGTATCTTCGAGCCAAGTGTCCCGGCCCGTGACATCGCTTGATATCTGCTTATAGCCGTACTATTTCAGTACCAGGAAGACATGACGCAGACCCGCGGCCTTACCAACATAGCAATGGAAATCTGGAGACACGACGCTATCTAATGATACGAATACGATAGGGCCAAGATATGTAGCCAAGTAGCGCAATATTCTACAAGTATTAAGATTGTTTAGTTGATGTAAATTATAGCTAAATTTAGTTCAAAGACTCTTGTATAAATCGATGTAACTATCTTAGTTACCAAAACTATAATACAGGGTTAGTATTAATTTATGTATTATAATAGCAACCAATAAACGAAGACAATAAATTTAAGGCATTATAAATAAATTCACTAAAAAACCAGTTCAGGCTCTAAATCCCAACAATAGAGTTATATTTCCATCGTCCGAGTCTAGTTACGGACTATTACGATTGCGCCAGGACTATTACAAGTCGAACGGAAGGAAAATCTATAGGTTTCGTAAGATAGAAGGCTGCGATGCGGCCGTGGTACACGAGGCGGAAAGCGCACGTGACTGCAATAATAATCAATCTGTGCATAGTCCTGATAAACTTGGAAAAGCTCTACCCGTAAATTACAAAATATAACATATTGCTTGTGTAAAGAGAGAGCATTTTAAATTTACGGTATTTCAAATTGGTACTTGAAGTTGCATATTCAAATGTGGACCTTACGTTATAAAGATAAGAATATTCTACGATAATCTGTAATTTCCCTAAAAAGTTATTAAACCTGTCTGAAAAATTGAAAAACCAGTTTAAATCAATGAAAATTGGAGATATTTTAAAATCAGAACGCCACTGCGGGCAAGATGGAAGTATTGCACAAAGAAAGATCAAATTCTTTAGAATGTATTATAGATTGTTAAAGCGAAGAAAGTGAAAAAAATCTCAATCTGCGAATCTAAGTGCGAGACTGCGGGTTTGTGCTCAGGTCACGTAGAGCAAGCGGCGAGTGAAAGTGCACGAACGAACGAGCTGCGATGTCTTTATTTACGAATCGTACGAAATCACCGAAAGTCATGATTATATCATTACTTTTCGTGATTTATTACATTTTACGTTATTGACTTGCGTTCTAATTGCCTGATTGACAGGAGACAAGTTTTTTGGCGGATATGTGTGTGTATTCCATAATTACCTTCTGAAGCGTAAAAGGCTTGACCAAACTGTAAAGTCTTGATTTTCATGATTCTTTGGAGGATCAAAAGATATATACACTATCGGGGTTATTTTTTTTTTCAATAATCAAGGAATAATAATTTTCATTTATATAAACATGTATTCCTTTGTATTCATGTAGCTATATTTGATTCTTTTAAATTACTCTCACAATCGGCAATACAGCTCGTATCATGGTTCACCTTTACCATTTTATACAT